AAACGATAGTCTAAACCCATCTTGGTGCATTAATAAAAAATGTCGAGAAGACAATTTTACTATAAGACATGCCCTGATCCTAACTCCAAACTAACCCATACCCTAACTTTAATTAAAAACAAAAAACACGTGACTGGACACGGCTTTAGACGTCCCCCAAATTTGGATGTTGCAGATCATCCTTTTTTTGTACGATTAGAAAATTCTCGAGACTTCAAAATTAATACTATATAAATCGATTCTAGAATAGTCTTTTACTAATAATAGATCGCTTAAAGCCATGTACCCACGTGACTATTTTGTGTTAATCAACCAACCGGAATTGTTTACACGGATCAGCCCGAAGAATAAAGAAAACGCAAAAAGACAAAAAACAGTAGTCTAAACATGTCGTGGGGGCACTAATTAAAAATGCCGGGAAGGCAATTTTACCTATATAACACCAACATAACCCTAATTCTAACCTTAATTTTAATTAAACCGATTAAAACGTAAAAATCACGTGGGTACATGGCTTAAGCCATCCCCCATTTTGGTAAAATCCCTGACTGTACTACTGCAACGCATTGATTCGTTCTAGAATATCCTGCCTTTCATTTGAAAGATTCGAATAACGTTGCTGAAGTTCAGATTCGCGTTTTATAAGATAGTCAACGTCATTTTGGAGGGACTAATAATATTAACACATATTAATAAACAATAAGGCATTACACATTCGCTAAAGACGGCAAATGTTAAAAATACCTGAATACGCTTCGGTATCGCTTCCCGTTCCGAAATACTTAAAGATTGAAAAGAGTCAAGTTCTATTTTTGCTTGTTCAATTTCATCAAATGTCTCAGAAACATTCTTTGAAAGAGCTTGAGATCGGGCCTACATAGAAGAGTTTTTTTATTTAGACTTTTGCCGTTAAGTATAATGCAGTAAGTTAAATACTTTCAAACATACAGCATAACCGCCCAATATAACATTTAATTTTTTCTCTAACTTAGTAGCCTTTGTGGCTTCTTTAATCATAACATTACGATTAGCCTACATTATGATAAACACAAGCTTAAATTAATTTTTTATAAGAGAAGAATATAATTTAAAAAAGAAAAAGGCTCACTTCTAGTTGACTGTGAAATTGGGTTGTTACGGGTGTATCATGAATTTGGCTCCATGCTTCATCAAAATCTTCGTTGGAAAGTTCATTGGTAACTTTTGTAAATTCTAAATCTATTTCTTTCTTCACCTAAATTATCATAATTAAGGTTAATAGTTGTGAAGAGATGCTTTGCAAACAAAATGCCAAACTTTACCTGATCAATCAATTCGTCAGGAAATTCTTCGAATGATTCTAAATCCAAGTTTGCAGGTTTACTTCCATGAACTGGATGCATTACCGCATCACGTCGTAATAGCGTGAGCATCTCAATATCAATGAGCTTTTGGATTTCAGAGTCACCATCTGAAACTTCTTCGAATGAATCAAAAACTGAATTGATGTTAACAGGTCGAGGAAGATCACGCTGTACAGCTTGAGACCTGCGTCTAAGACGGGCCATTTCTATTTAAATATATATATGTATATACACGATAAGTCGAATATCATTTTTATTGAATAATCGAGAGCATATTGAATTAAATAGATCACCTTCTTCTTCTTGCTGAGCCTTTAATTTTTTATCTCTATCACTAGCATCTTCTTCTATTCCTTCGGTATCCTCTTTGGGCACTTCTTTCCCTTCGACGTCAGGTAAAACAATTTCAAAATCATTTTTTGGTGCAGGCAAATTTAACAATCCTGCTCTAAGCTGTTTAATAGTCGCAGTGTCAACTGATAATGAAAGAGTTGTTAGTCGTAAATAAAATTTCATAATTGTTAATAATAATTGTTTCAGATTAAAACCAAATCAGATTAAAATGAAGACCATTTTAACTATAAAAATCTTTTCAAAGAAGAATACCGAAATTTTATATGGTCAAAAATTTCAGTTTAACCTGATTTGTTTTAATTTATCATAACAGTTAATCATTTCATATATTATTGTTGTTTTATAACACACCAGCAGCTGGAGTTCTTGGAGTCCTTAGCGAAAGGAGAGTTCCTGGCGTTCTTGGTGTTTGTGTTATACCTGCTACCGTTCTTGGTGTTCTTGGTGTTCTTAATGGTAGACTAGTGCTAGAAGGAGTGTAGTCTGTAAGAGAAGAAACATTATCCGATTCTCCTACAACTGCTTTAACGTTTTGTCCAGCAAACCCAATTTTTACAATCTACAATGGTAAAACGTTGCTTAATAAATAACGATAGTATCTTGTTGTGTTTTTTTTATTTTTACAAACCTCTTCAAGTTCAGTTTCTCCAACTTGTGGTGCAGGAAGAATTAATTTTCTTCGTTTGTTAATTTGTTCTGCTTGTTTTAATTTATTTAATTGCGCATTTCTTGCAGGTACAAAATTAATGAGACCACCCTCGGCTTCATCCTTGTTGGTTTTTTGTTTTTTCTTTCTTTTTTCTTCTGCAATTTCTGATCTTCGTTTCCCTTCTAACTTGTGAAGATGAACGTTGGTGAGACTCATCTCTGGTTGTCGATTTTTTTCTTCAGTAGTATCATAGAATCCTAATGCTGGCCTTTTTTCAAATGGTATGTCTGCATTATAATCCATGCCCTTCTTCTTCTTTTTCACTTTCAATCTATGAATTTGGTAAATTAATAAAGTTATCCATTTAATTATAACTAATAAAATGAATTTATTTTGTAACATAAACTTACTCAATACCCGCAGCTTTTAATTCACGTCTTTTTTGCAGGGAAGCTAGACGTCTAGCTTCTTCTAGTTGTTTTTCACGTGCTTTTCGCTTCGCTTTTTTGCCTTGAGTATTGGCTAACCTAGCACGAGCCTCTGATAACATTTCCTTCTCTGGTTTATTTTAGAGAAAAACGAAAAGGATGTAAATTTTGTAAACAATGTAAATAATAACAAAAATGAGGAATTAATAAATTAACCATACCATCTTCGTCCATATCGACAGGATCGGGCCTTGCAGGCTTTGTTTCTGGATCAGGGTCAATCTCTCCAGGTCTAAGTCTTCGAACATCATCAGCACTCGGACCTGTATCACCCGCCGGTCCAGTCAAATCTAATCCTTCTTTAGCTTCTGCTTCATCAAGCAATCTCTGATATCTTTCAAGACATTGAGATGGCGTTCTTCCAACAATTGGAGCGATAGTTCGCCATTGCGTTGGCATCAATTTTGTATAAGCCTAATTTACATGAATTTACCTTCGAAACCATAACTACCAAAAAGTCCTTTTCCGTAATATTATATGAAGATAATGGTTTATCATCGACCAAAACCTTTCCTTTTAAGTAGAATTTCAAATGGATTATTACCTTGGAATAAACTTGAGCTTATGAGAAAGAAATAAAACCTTATAAAAAATAGTCCTACCTGAAAAAATAAGCTTTTGGAGTGCAACTGCATGTCCTTGACTTTCTTCAATTTTCTGCTTCAGCGTAAGGATCTAAAACGATAGAAGTCACGTATTAATAAGAAATTCTTATTTACTAATAAATTAATGACAGACATCGAAACTAGAGGTGAAGCAAGAAAAAGAAAATGTTATAAACAGACGAGACAAAAATGAACTTCTATCTGTCTTGTGAAAGATTATCAAGCTGAGAATGCTAAAGTGCCCTATGTGTTCTAGAAATAAATGAAGATTTTGAAAAATCAATAAAAGAACATGAAAATTGGCTGCAACAAATTGACATAAATTTGTCAATAAATGCTTGGCTGAATTTTGTAAAAAAATTAATCTAAATAACCTACAAGAATTCTCTTGTTTTGTCTGTTCAAGAATGTATTTTCTCAAAGAGTTTAAAAAGATTTCTGTAAATGAAATAGATCTTTCTTTGATTAAAGCACTAACACACCTTACCGCACCTTCTTTTGAAATTGACTTTCATTACAACCATCCTTTTATTAATTCCAGTAACTTAAAAGTTCTCCTTAATCATATATTCTTATAAGAAACTTCAAGAATGCAATAATCTTAAAACCAACAAGCCTTTTAATCTGCGAATTTGCATGCCTTGTCATAATTTTTTGCTAAAAGATAAAACTCCTCTATTATCATTAGCTAATAACATGTAGATCAGATTTATACTATCTTGTCTTAAGGATTTAATGATTCTAGAACAGCTTTTGATCTTATCAGAATATCCTTGTATAAATCTTGTTCAATTATCAAAAAGAAATTATACTTATTATA